TGTGATAAAAGATTAGCAATTTCAAAATTAAAAGCACCTCTAAGACTGTAGAACATCTATAAATAGAAGATAACTATAAAATGTATAGAGGATGTAGCCTGCCTTGTATATCTAAAAGTACCAAGTTGAAGCTTTGATCATGCCTATATGGAAGTCTATAATATATTAAATAAAACACATTAATATAAATATTATACTAATTTAGGTTGAAACACCTACAACTAGAAGTAGTAGAAATACTACAATAGCCAATAGCTAAAAAAGATTTTCTCAAAATATAGTTCTACTTATACTATAAAAGAAAATACTTAAAGAGCAGGTTAAGATGTACAATTTATTAATAATAATACTAAGACCAAAAGACACAAACCAATAGCAATATCAGTAGACCAAAAAGTTAGCCACTATAGCAAGATATACTGTTAGATACTAAACAATTCTGGCAGACCAAAGATGATAGCTTATAAGAAGTAAATGACTCAGCAGACTAATTTAAAAGTTGTTTGAAAATAGATTATAAGACATAAGGTGAATATGCAAAACACCTAATATCATTAGATGTGAAGCAAAAATCTAGATTTGGTATAAGTAAGATATACACAACTATAATAGATTTAGGTTGCAAATAAATTAGTCTGAGTTTCAAATCTTTTTTTTTTTTTTTAACCTTAAGCAGTTACACTAGTACTTTATTAAAATTCTTGAAACTATACATATTAGAATTTTTCAATACCTAAGTCTAGCATCACTTGGCCACTCTTATAGTATCTAAGTGCAACCTGCTGCACTATCTCAGTTAAAGATAGACTGCTTGTCTAACTACTTAAAGCCATACCAGAAGGGCTTTTTCCCTTCTGTAACAAGCATATTAATTGTCTTCCAAGCTTTCTTCTTTATTCAGTTTGTTTTCTCTATTTTCCTTTCTTTTTCTTCTTCTTTCATTTAATTATCCTTCTTCTTTCCTTTATCTGTCTTCTCTCTTGCATAAACTCCTTTCTTCATTTTGTTTGTTATATTGGACTTCTTTTTTCAGTCTTGTGTCTTTTCATATTGAACCCTTCATACTTGATCATAAAAGGTGTTCTATACTGTTCTTGCCATTATATTTATGCACTTCTGCATTGCCTAATTGTTTAGAAGTTACTTGAGTTTCTCTTTTATGTTTGTCTTTGTCAGTCCTTTTATCAGTGCTTCTCTGTTTGCAATTTCTTCTGCTTCTGATTTCCCAAATAATGCTTCATATAGGACTTGTGATGGAATTCTGTTTTTTTTTTCTTCTTTGAGTGCATTTTATGCAGTTGCTGTTGTGACTTTTTGGATCTGCTTCTATAAGCTTCTTTGTTCACTACAGCTTGCCAAATGTGCTTATGTTTCTATCTCTTCAACTTGGCATACCTGACACTTTGCAGTTGTATAAACCTCTGGTCTTCTTCTATTTAGCTCTTCAAGTGTTGGCAGTCTGTTCATTATGCACTTAATCACTGCAGCTCTTCTTGTGCTGAGTTTTCTTGATGTACAGTAAACTTTTTTTGTTCTGTTCATCTTTTTCCAGAAGCTTGTCCAATTATGTAATGTGTTATCTGTTTCTGGCTCTAGCACTTTTATTGGGTTCATTTCTCTCCAAGTGGCTCTGATTCTGGCATTCATTATTATTTTACACAAAAGTCTAACTGGAATGTTAGTTTTTTTGTTTTTCCATTCCACATGGTACTCTATTTCATCACATCTGATGTTTTCTGTATATATTATTTCTTTGCAAGTTGCTTTTTTTTTTGCAAGAGAGTCTGCTCTGTTATTCCACCTGTCTTCACTATGACTTTTAACTTTAACTATTTTTATCTTTATCTTCTTACTTTTGATAAGACCTACAATGTTTATTATTCACATTGCATTTTTCCTTTTTAAGGTGCTTCCATTCTCTGTACATTGTATTGCTCTATTAATATTTCTTAATGCTGTGGTGCTGTCTGTATATATTTTTAAACTCTTTCTTTCTGGGATTGTTAATATTGCTGTCCATACTGCTGCTAACTCTACAATTGTTGCTGAAGGCCATCCCTTAAGTCTAAATAGTGCTTTTTCTTCTGGCCAGTCTTCTTTATTTCCTACTTGCACTCAGCCAATACCTATTCTTTCTATATTGTTTCCTTTATCTTTTTTATATAATGCTCCATCAGTATAGATAATATACTTTTCTTTGTTTCTTCTTTTGTTTTATATCAGAATTTCTGTTAATTGGCTTGTGATTGAACTATTTAACTTCTGTTTCTTAATCAGTTCTGCTTCTAATTCTTCTGCTAGTCTTAATTATAATAACTTCATTTCATCTTTTTTCTATTCTTCTATTTTCTAGTAGCTGTTCTGATGTTGCATTTATCTTGTTCTTTGTTTTCTTAATTAGTAGCTCAGAGACCACTTTCATGTTCTAGTCTCATCTTATCTATTTTTTATTCTTGTCTGTCATCTGTTCTGCTCTATTTTTACAACCTTTATATACAGTTATTTCTGTATATATTTTTCCTTCTTCATTATGCATTAGCTAATGTTCTGCCAGCACTTTTTTCTTCTTTTTTTTAATTACTTTGCTGAATTGCTAATCATGTTTTGGTCCATGTATGATCCATTTCTTTTTTCTTTGGTCTTCTGAAATCTTTGTTCACTTAATCTTTAAAGCCTGTGCATTGTAGCTGTTTATTTTGTATTGGTCTTTTACTTCTCTACTTGTTTGTATTTTTAGCAGCTTTCTTTCTATTTTGCTAAACCATTTGGCTTTCTTCTCCTTGCATGATAGGCCTTGAAGACTCTTGAGCTGTCTTTATGTGATTAAGTTATTACCTTTCATATCTATTAGCTAATTTATATATAATAATCTCCACTTGTTTATTGTATTACTACTTGTTGCCCATGTCTTTGTTTTTAGCATATCTTTTATTTGTCTACCATGTTCATAAACTTTTTACAGCCATTTTGTTATCTTAATGTTTATTTCTATTTCTTTTGCCTTAGCTATTGTTCAACATGCTAAGTTATTTTTCCAAAACTTTTTAGTTTCTGGTTTGCTTTCAACATGCCAAATGTCTTTTGTAAGGCCTGCTTTTTGGCATCTTTAAGCTATTCTGAGTCTTGTTAATTCCCCTAGGCTGTCTTGTCTGTTAAGTTTTAGGAAGATGCTACTAATTTGCTTTATTATTATTTCTTGACTTAGTGATTTGCAGTTTCCTAGATCTTTATGCTTAATTATACAATTGCTTGATGTTTTCATCATATTGCATTTGTACTTAGCCAAGCATATCAATGGTTAATATATTTTATCAATTGTTCTTTCTAACATTTTTGTTAGTTGTAAGAGATATCCTAGCTTAAGGATTATTATTGCATTGTTTATATATGCAATCTGGCTTATTGTCATTTTTTTGTATCTCAAATCTTTGACTATTTGACTTACTATTTCTTTTGCTTTCTTACATACTAATGATTCTTTCATTTTATTGTTTAGTCAGATTTCTAGTGATCTTACAATTTTATTTTTAGGCTCTTCTGTTATTTTGCTATAACTGAAAGTAATTTCTCTTTTTGCCTCTTTTATTCTTGTATTTATTACTATAAGCTTTGATTTAGATCCATTTATCTCAATGTTATTTACCTTAAAGAACTCTTCTGTGATACTCAGAATTCTTATCATTTGTTCTTTGCTGTTTGCAATACATGTTGTGTTATCTGCATATGCAATTGCTGCTTGTCTATATTTTGTGATGCTGTTACTGTATGCTCTTTCTGCAACTTTTTGTTCTACTATGTATCCTAGTAATTTGTCTTCTTGTATTCTTTCTAATAATGGATCATAAAAGAGACACCAGACTAGTAGTGAAATCACCTCTCCTTGGTCTATTCCATCTCCTGCTACTATCTCTTCTGTTAAACCATAAGCTATAATGACTTTGAGTTTTCATTTACAGAAGATATTGTTTATATATTCTCTTGTTTTTTGTAGTATTTTAACTTTTTTCAGAGCTCATTCTAGGCTTTTTAATGAAACTGAGTCAAATGCCTTTTTCATGTCCTGTAACAGTATCCAAAATTCTTTATTCTTTTCTTATACTTTCTCTATTATTATATTCAGTATGTATATAGGTTGTTCTGTAAAGTTGCCTAGAAGACCTGCAAAGTTTGGGCCCTTGAGTATGTTTTTTTCCACAAACATTCTGGCTAGTCTTCTTGTTACTATCTTTGTGACAACTTTTCTAAAAGTCTCAATCAATGCTATTGGCCTAATGTTGTTTAAACTATATCCCCATTCAACATCTTTTAGAATTAGATAAACTTGTACTATTTTCCACTTTTCTGGTATATCTCCTTTTTTTATAATCAGATTTGCAAATGCTCTAAAGATTTTTTGTGACTTTTTCTCTGCCCATTTTATTAAGATGTAGCTTATGCCTGATATTCCTGGGGCTGTGTTCACTTTAAGTTTTCTAAGTATGTCTTCCCATTCTTTTTCTTTTATCTCTTTGTCTAATTTTTCATATCAGGCCTCATCAATTCACTCTTTCAGTTTATATATCTCTTTCCATTATTTTGTTATTTCTTTTAGTTTGGTTTTTCTTTTTTTGAATTGATTTTTGTAGTGCATTGCCAAACTATTCAAAATAGGGTTCTGCAAACCCAGCATATGCCAGTGCAAAAATGGGTATATAAGGCACGAGCATAACTTCACTTAAATTTAAGGGCACAGGCACAATATAAATGGGTCTTATATAGGCACTGGCACAAGTAGATTAGTGCCTGGCATGGTGCCAACAATGCCAGGCATGTTAAAATTTATACAATTTGTTAATTAATTAAAATAATATTTGTACGTATATACGGTACATATTATAATATAAAAGTTTATATATAATTTAACAAGTTTGTAACATTTACATTATTATATATATATAAATTATGCAAAGCAATAATATTGTTTTTTATATAAACCTTTAAAAAAATAATATAATAAAATATTATTTTGTTTCAGGCAAATTTTCAAGCAGACTAGATTTTTTTTGACTTTCTTTTAACCATGAGTGCATAAGTATTGTGCTGGATACTGTGTTTTCATTAAGATTAGCTCTATCCTTTGTAACTGTAAAGCCAGCATGAGAAAAAGCTCGTTCACTGGCAACACTAGAAGGTTGGATACTAAGAAAGTCACAGGCTATCTGACTAAGTATAGGAAATCGGTTTGATAATAATTTCCAACTATGTAGTCCACTATTTTTCATATTAGTTTCTATTTCATTGCTTTCATTTTCAAAGTTTTCAAGAGGTTCTCGCTCATATAAATCCAACTCATATTCAAGAGTATTAATACGATGTTTTTTTGCAATTTGCCTTTTAGGAAAAAATTTATCATGTTTTATATAATCTTCACATTCTATTTCCAAAATTAAAGAATTTAAACTTGTGTAATTTGTTTCATATGAAAGTATTTTTTGTCGAATATTATTAATATATTGCTCAGCTTTACTTTCTGAATATCCACCAATTAAAGAGTTAAACACAATCTCTTCCCGCTGATCACTCAAACACAAATTCGGCAAGAAACAAAAATCAAGTTTACACAAAAACGGCTGTCTAAACC